GAATTTATCCACAAGTTTATAAATAGTTTTACATAAACTTATTGGCCTAAAAATTGAAGGAATCAAAGGCTTATGTACCTTTGTAATGAGCACAATCAATATATCTTTACAATTATAATACATTTTCCCAATAGAGAAGAATTGCTTGATAGCATTTCAAACATCTACATTGATAATAAACCAATAAGCCTTGATAAAAGAGTGTGTAATCCTATCCAATCTAGATGAAATCACACCACTGAGGTAATTCACAGCTTCCATAACTTCCTCCATAGATAGTTCGGCCTCCAATATTCTTTTGACATCTTCATTCAGCACACACATAGGAGAAGGCCATCCATTTAATGAACAATCTCTAGCTTCCCACTTATTTTTAAAGAAATTGAAGAAGATATTTTCAATTCGAGCTTGGTCATGCACCATCACTCCATTCTCATCCTAGATTTTGTAAATACGATTATCATTCCTCCTAGCACTTGCAAAGGAATGAAAAAACATTAAATTTTTAACCCCATCATTTATCCATTTCACCTTTTCTCGTTGTTTCCACCATATTTTCAATTGAGCAAGAGTGATATTGAGCTCATTCACCTTTGTTTTGAGAACTAGAATTTTATCATCAGAGAGACCACCATTTGCAACACCAAAAATTCCTTCTTAAGGGATTCCTTCAATTGATCATATCTTTTAACTTGGCTCTACTCTAGTAGAATAGAGTTTTTAAAGCAATTCTAAATTTGATATTTAGAATATCAAAATATCCTCCCACAATCTTCTTTTTCCAAGCTTTTTTAAACTATGATTGATGAAGCAAAATGAGAAGCCCAAGTATCTTCAAATCTGATAGGCCTATTTACCTTAGGAACACCATTCCATAGATTTAGAACAATAGGGCAATTATTTGACGCCACCCTAGATAGATGACAAACAACTAACAACTAAGAAGAATTAACAACAACAAAGTTAACAAAACATCTATCTAATCTCTCAAAAATATGGGCTCCACCAACTTCGTTACTACACCAAGTGAAATTAAGACCAATATAGTCCTCTTCATGATAATCATTATTAGTTAAGATTTTATTCATTTCCTTGAGTCCTTGGGAAAAGACATACCTTTTCCCTCCCCTTTTATAACCTTTAGACAATAGGCAGTTGAAATCACTACCCACTATAGATGGCCTATCTTTGGAAGAAAATGACTCAAAATTATTCCATAACTCCCTCCTTTTATAAGCATCATTATTCTTATAAATAGTAGAAATCATTCGCACACCTTTTATTATGTATATTTAAATCCCCAATCACACATTGATATGAATAGTACAAAGAAGTAAAGAAGCCACATTAGTCTTCCTGAACACCAAAATTCCCCAAGACAATCCATTTGAATGAAAGAAAAAAAAACCCAATCTACTCCAATGAGAAAATTAACATCCTTCCTATCCATATAAGATACCTTTATCTACAACAAACTAACAAAAATCATATCATTCTCCTTAACAAATTCCTTAAGATATAGAGAAACATAAACTTTCCTAGCTCCTCTACAATTACAAAAGGCAATCAAAATTCATTGATATATGGAAGGGGAGCAATCCTCAGATGCTTTATATATGTTCAAACATCCAATTTCCTACTTATAGTCATTAACTTTATTGGACCAACTATCTTTAGTTCTTTACCAAATTTTCTCTTAACAAAAGATGTTGAATCACCATTCTTACCATCTTCTTTAACTATGCCCAATTAAGATTTATTAGATACCATTTCGCCCTCCCCATTGCCACTACCAACATTGCAATTAATAACAAAAATTCCCTCTGAGGCATCTGGGCTACCTCCTCCTATAAATTATTCAGTACATCAAACATATTTTTTATTAAGAATCTCGATGAGAGATATGGAATTACAATTCTTACCCAAATCTGAACTAGCGCCATTCTCAGTAACAATAGCAAAAGGATTCATGATCTTGAGCTTCATACACTCAGTTGGTTCTCTAACTTCAATTATTTAGCTTCAATAACTTCAGTAGCTTCAACAACTTAAGTAATCAAAGAAACACTTTAAAATCCTTATTTTGGAATAGCAATCCCCACAAAACCAGCAACCAGATTTCCCTTATCAACAACAATAGAATTTTCTCTCCTACCCTTGATAACATTATGAAAATAATTCCTTATAGTAGAATTAACCCTTCTCTTCTAATATTTAACATGAACCCAAGGTCCATATAAAACTTCTGAATTTGAATAAACTAGCAGCCCCACATCCTTCATCAATTTCTGCTTCATGCCCACCAACAATAGCAGATACCAATGGAACATTCCCTTGTTTTTTCAACACTAATATGGATTATGGGAAATTGCTTATAAGGTGGCCAATCTTACCACACTTAAAGCATAATTTTGAAACCTTTTCATATTCAACCTTTTGAAAAAACCTGCTAGAACACCCTTCCACCCAAACACCTAATGGAAGCTATCTGCCTAACTTGATTCGAACACACACTCTAGAAAAATCTATCCTCCCCCATTGAAACATATTTCCATCTGATAAAAATGGCTTTCCAGCTTGAGAGGCTATCCTGCAAATATTGATCTCATCCAAACATTGTAAAGGTAGATTAGGCATCCTAATAAACATCGAAGCTGAATGTACTATAAGAGAAGTATAAGAGAATGTTGATGACCTTATCAACACCAATAATATGACCCTTAACAAACCAAGGTCCCTTTATCAAGATTGACTCTGCAATAGTTACTTCCTCACAAGAACAAAGAATCCAATCTAATCCCAATATAGTAAGATGGAATTTTCCAAAATGACACCATTATATTTTTAGCTCAAGACTAATCACAAGAAAAGGGATATTGTCACCAAATACTTTGATGACTAATGCATTTTATGATCTTTTTTTATTTTCCAATTCATTTCCCATATGTAACTTCACTACTTTCCCATCCTTTGTCAAATTAGATCCCAAGTCCAGGTTTTGAATTTTTAAAAGTGATTTTTTCCCAAGCATTTGGCTTCACATTACTCATAGGATTTATAGTTTCTAGAATAGAAACCTCATTACACTCTTGATCAATAATATTCAATTCACTTGAGATACATTGGCAGAGCTTCTCCAAATCACCTTAGTTTACATATGACTCAGTAACAACCCTCTCAGGATTCAGAATAACAACCTTCTCTGCATTCACATTAGAAGCATTCACCATGGTAGCACCACCTAAGCAATTATCACTTTTAGTAAACTGATTTCTAGGACTAGAAGCATTTGAATTTCAAAACCTACTAACATGAATCTTCAGTATAAATGAAGACGATGTCACTAAGTTCGGACTTCTAGTATCAATATTCAAACTTTAGAAAAAAAAGGTTTGGGTTTTTTAAATCCCTCATCAATCAATACTTCCTTACCCTTCCCATCACCAAAAAATCCTTCTGCGTAGTCATCAAGGTTCCTTTATCAATGATCAATGGTTTTTCTTTTGACAACTTTATCACGGCCTCCCAAAAATGATGAACCAACTGAATTACCATTAAAGACCTCACTGGATGAATGACCAGAAGGCCTTAAAGTTGGAGGGAAATTCCCCCAAGAACCACCAGATAAGTGATGAACGTCACCCATTAAAAGTTATAGAGATCATCAGAGGATGACTGGAGATCATCCACCTCCAAGGCGGGGTGACACCAAAATGAAGGAAATAAAAATTTGAAATTCACTCTATCACTAGAAAACCACACTCTCTCTCACTAGAAACAAGGCCTATAAAAAATTTGCATCCTAATGTATTTGGGTTCATCATTATCACATATCCATACAATACTATGCATTACACCATCTTATGTAAATATTTTAGTTTATCACATTCACGTGTATCAATATAATTTATCTTATCACATTAGGAATATCATCATCTTTGATTTATCTATGTTATGGATCATATCATATTTAGGGCATTATTGAGTTTGGAAGAACAATAAACCTATAATAATATGATGTATATGACTAAGAGATTTGTTGGTGAAAATTATATTATGATCACACTATCCTATTTTTCTTAAAAAAATATCTCACTTGATGTTATTGTGCAGGAACATTTACACGAGGATAAAAATTTGAAGAAAAATGTCCAATAATGTAGTGCAAGACCTTGGAGAGCTGTAGCTTTCATCCCATAAAATTGACTAAAGATAAAGAGTAAGGCATCATATTTGAGGAATGTTGCATCATCGCAGTGCTCCTAGAGCTCTACAACATTTAAACATTTCATCTATACAAAGAAATAATATTATCCTCAATATAATAGTACCAAATCACTGTGATGGTATGGCAGAGCAATTAATTTGATTACCACAGCGAAACAATAATTTTATTCAATTTGAGAGATTTAGTGGTGGACATTAGAAATAATGTGAATATAGTTTAATTCCTCGGCATCGCAATGCATGAAATCCCTTCCGTTAACCTCAAAATACTCATTTGAACCTATTTAACCTAAACTCAACCTATGGTCTAACCAGGTTGACTAATTCAACTATGGTTGACCAAATCAACCCTTTAACCCAACACTTGTCAATTTTAACCATTCAAGCTACTTTAAATCAATTTAACCCATCAAAATCAGTCAATTATACACCCTTGACTTATCCAAAATTTATCCAAGTTAAACCTCCTTGGGTTGACTTGGTCAACCCATTTGGAGGGGTCAAAACCTTTTTAATGTCATGTATTTGCTCTAAATTCTAAACCCTTTATTTCAAATCCCTTGGCATGATGTAATATAACCTTTGAAATGAGACCATGCCATGGCCACCTCATCATCCCATAAAGCAAACCTATTCTTCAAGCCAAAATCTGCTTTTGGATAATGAAAATTGCTTTTTCCCTCCCTAATTAATCCTTAATCTAGCTCTATTAACCATGCCAGGGCTTGGTTTAGCCAAATGAGGAAACATGTGTGTGGGCCCCCTCTCTTGGCTCAAGGCAATCTTCTTCTTATTTTGGGCTGCTCATGGGACACATGTTACTCATCTAATCCCGTCCTAATTGAATCTCAGCCATCCAATTCATAAGTAAGGGTTTAAGATAGAAGAACTTGCCCTAATCCTAGGATTGCTCATTTTTCACCTAAGTTCCAAACTCTACCAGCCCCAAAACTCTCCATGAACCTCCCACACTCTCCAGAACTTCCTAAGACCATTCCAAGCCTTCCCCCACTATTTTTACCATTAAAATCATCATTTTAGTGGAGAAAGAGAGAGAAAAGAAAGAAACACCATCTCTCTTTGATATCTTCAAATCAAGCCATCAAAATCCTTTGGAGTCTTCAGCAAACTTGTAGAGGACGTAAGCAGGAGAAAAAGGACTACTAGATCTTAAATATCCACCAGATAGATTATGAGTTTTTCTCACTTTTAGGTAGAAGTTAAATTTGAAACTGTAGAAAATCTTCAAAGCATGTAGCCTCCAAACTCTAAGTATTGCTAGATTATGTTGCCCTCTAGCTACGTTTCAAATTTTGTTAAATTTTGTCAAGTATTTTAGGAGATATGAGCATTTAAAAATTTCTATTCAAAATGATCTAGAGAAAACCAGAAGAATTGGACCATCCGATCAAACGTAAAACGGCCCAGATTTGGACATACCGTGTGGCTTCCCCCAAAGCTCGAACGCTGGTTATCCCGCAGTCTGGGAGGATGACATGGTTACCATCTGGCCATCATTTATGTTGCCTTGTGTTCTGACCATCGGATCATTGGATCCGACGTGGCCGCCCCTAGGCTCGACATGTGGCACAAGAGCGCATTTTTGAGCCGTTGCACGCACACCAATGATTGGCCTGTCGGATTAAAAGAAAACATTAAGGAATAAAAAATTTTAATGCTCCAAATCTTCCAAAATTCACAGTAAATAGAATTTTTCACCAAATGGAACCTTTTAGGCTTGTTAGAAGGGTACTTTATTTAATATTCAATAAAATTAAGTTTGAGTTGATTACTCTACAAGATTATAAGATATTTAAGCTTGTTTAAAAAATGTTTTTTATACTTTTCTCACAATCCATTGGTCAACTAGAGTCCAAATTTTGGTGAAGGATTATTGGATTTCTTAGTCATGTTTAGTAAATTTTCTAGGGTCAAATACTTAATATATTTGTGAGATGTAAATTTTCAAGGTAAAGGGTCCATTTTGGATCCTAAACTTTGAAAATTCATAACTCCCTAGATTTTTAGAATTTTTCTATGAAATTTCTGTGATGTGAATGCATGTATACAAGGGTTAGACATATCAAGTTTCAAGCATATTTGAATAGTAGAGACATCTAGGAAAAATAATTAATGAAGTGTCTAGAAAATTTAGAAAATTCCTAGGGCATTGTACACATACCCAGTATGGGTCAAACTTGAATTTAGTAAACATAATGACATTTTCAACCATAGGTTTAAATTTGACTAAATTTGGAGCTCATTAGGTCAGAAAATCAACCTTATCAAAATTCAGCCCCATTAAGGATCTAAAAAATTTTAAAAGTATAATAAATCCAAATTAAGTCTAAAAAATGCAAATAATACATCAAATTGACCAAAACATTGTTGTGTACCTAGGAAAATAAAATCCCCTAGAATGAACCGCTAATTTATCCTTAATTTAATTTCTAATAAAAATTAACAATTAATTAAATTGATTAATTAAAATTAATTAAAAAGCCAAAATAAATTAAAAACACTTGGAAAACCTTCTTGGGTTATTCCTGACCTTTGGAGGTGATTCCATGAGGTTTGGAGTTGATTTGAATTAAAACTACTCAAACCTTCTAATTAAATAAACTTTAAAATTCAAATAAATATAAAACTTCCAAAATTCAGAACTAATTACAGAAAAATCCAAATTGATCTAACTTAGTGTCATTCAACTCCTTTTAGGGTCTAGTATTTTCTAAAAAGTTCAAACCTTCAAAATTAAGTCAAAGTCAAAAAGTCAACATTTTGGTCAACTCAAGTCAAAATTGAGGCAAAACTTCCATAATTCATAACTTTTTATTAAAAACTCTAAATTGAGTGCACTAATAGTCTAACAACTCATAAAAAGGTCTAATATTTATTAAAATAAAAAAATTTCAATATTAACTTTAATTTTAAAAGTCAACTCTTAACCCCTTAGTTAACACACTTAAATAATTCCTAAAATGCAATTATTCTTTAAAATTCTAAAATTTTCTAACTTGAATAATAAAATTCTCAACCAACTTCTTAAAATCATTCATAAACTAAAATATTTAATGTTAATCAACCTTTTAATTCTAACAAAATAAATTAACTTAATCAACGCTGATTACTACTAGGTAACCCAAGCCTACAAGGCTAATAGCTTAGCCCCAAGGAAGGTGAATAAACTTCACGACCTCAGTGTGAAACAAAGGTAGTAATCATTTAACCTTTAAAATATATTTAAATTAATACTTAATATATTAATATTTAAAGTCTAATCTAAATCTCCCCTTAAGTCTTAACAAATTTAAAATACTAGATAACTCTAACTAAATACCCAACTTAGGATCTACCCCAGCCACATGAC